GGCAGTGTGCCCAGGCGGCCAAGAAGGCCAACAGCATCCTGGCTTGTGTCAGAAACAGTGTGGCCAGCAGGACGAGGGAAGTGATTGTCCCTTTGTACTCAGCACTGGTGAGGCCGCACCTCGAACACTGTGTTCAGTGTTTTTGGGCCCCTCACTACAAGGAAGACCTTGAGGTGCTGGAGCGTGTCCAAAGAAGGGCAACGAAGCTGGTGAAGGGTCTAGAGCACAAGTCTTCTGAGGAGCGGCTGAGGGAACTGGGGTTGTTTAGCCTGGAGAACAGGAGGCTGAGGGGAGACCTTACCGCTCTCTACAGCTACCGGAAAGGAGGTTGTGGCGAGGTGGGTGCCGGACTCTTGTCCCAAGTAACAAGCGATAGGACGAGAGGAAATGGCCTCAAGTTGTGCCAGGGGAGGTTTGGATTGGATATTAGGAGAAATTTCCTCACTGCAAGGGCTGTCAAGCATTGGAACAGGCTGCGCAGGGACGTGGTTGAGTCACCATCCCTGGAGGTATTTAAAAGACGTGTAGATGTGGTGCTTAGGGTTTAGTGGTGGACCTGGCAGTGTTAGGTTAATGGTTGGACTCGATGATGTTACAAGGTCTTTTCTAACCTAAACGATTCCATGACACGGAGAATTAAATTTTATTACTTGAGGTTTACTTATTTCTGTAAATAAAGTTGTCAATTTTTTTTTTCTTTTTCCGCTTAGCATCTTGCGGACAGAGTGGCTATGTATGTGCATGCCTACACACTATACAGTGCTGTCAGACCTTTTGGTTGCAGGTAAGGCTTTCAAACATGCACTATTTGTAAGGATCTTCTGTGTCACAATTGCTGGAACTCTTCAGGTTGTCTAAGGGCTTTTTTTTAAACTTGGAATTAGTAACCTCCGATTCATCTCGTAAACAGATACCCTTCCCCTTTCTTTTTGTGTGTGTGTAAAAGCTTAGGTGAAGAATTCAGATTTGCGTAACAGTATGCCAAGCTTCTACACAGATTGCCAGTTCGTCCCTGAATTTTGAGGTTGCAGAGTTGATGCCGTTCAGTCTGTTACAGTGACGAAAGCAGAACTTTCCTCTACAGTCATCCTGCTTGTCCCGATACCTGAAGAGTAGGTTACAACTACTGTGCAGTTCTAGTGCAAAGGGACTGATGAGACTGCAGTCTGCTGTCCAGTTATGGATAAGTAAAATGTTTCTGGCGGCTTGCAGGTGCTTGGCCGTCACGGTAACACTAAACTGTTCAGACAAGTTGCTTCATAGAATGTAGCAGGATAGTAGGAGTTTTGCTCCAGAAAGAACGTAGGAAACCTGAGCTGGTGTAGTCTCTGTAATTCTGTGTGGGTTGGTAGAAGAAATGTTGCTAATTTCACTTTTCCCCTCCAGTTTCATGTTGGGGTCCTATGATGATGATGATGGTGCACAGCTGTACATGATTGATCCATCAGGAGTTTCATACGTGAGTGTGTCAAAAATATTTCCATCTTGGCTTAAGTTCTCCTTTTAAAAGTTCCTAGTTAGGAAAATAATAAGTGCCATTCCAAAAGAGCTGTTATTTTTTTCTCTTTTTGCTTGGGAAGATCTCTGGTGAATCGCTGCTTAAAATGAACAGAGCGGGTTTTTGCTCGTTCGCATGTCCTTGTTTAAACACACGTTGTGTATTTCTTAGAAGTACGGTCTCTGAGAAACTAGTTTTAAAGCTTGTCTCAGAAATTTGGGAGTTCGTTCCACCTGGCTCTATCCAACGAAAAGTCCCACGCACTGCCCAAAAAGGGCAGGTATTGGAGCGATACCCCGCTCACAAAATACTGCAGGTAAGAGAGAGCTTCAGATAAGAGAGGGCTGCTACTCTGACCCTGGCTGCTAACGGCAAGTCAAATCAAAATAGATGCTTTTGTTAATTGTTGTTTGTGCTGCCTCTTCAGCTGTGTGTTACGCGCAGGATGATACGCACTCATGCTGTTGTGATTTTTTTTTTTTTTCTTTCAACATAATATCCAATCTATAGCTGTTGAGGGAACGAGAAGTGCTGAATTTTTGTGTGCTTACACTTCAATATATTTTCATGGTAGGTGGGTTCAGTGTTTTTTTGATCCTGTAGAACTTCTCTAATTCTAATTTGCTCTTCCATTTACTGTAATAACAATAAAAAAACCCTACCTATTGCAACAAATTGAGCAAATGTTTCTGTCCAGGAACTACTGAGCTTTTCTGTTTTCTATCAACAGTGGTAGTACTTAGTCTAGTAATTGGGTTCGATTCAACAATTTGGGAATGTGCCCCGAGAAAGAACAATACCGAGGTTTACTGTATATTAGCCTCTGGCTATGTGAGTAGGGTGGGGGTTGTCATATGCTAAGTGACAGTAAGAGCTGTGGAGGGCTTCGTATTCAATCAAATGTGCATAGTTTTTGTTTCTTTTTTTTTTTTAGGGTTATTGGGGGTGTGCCATTGGTAAAGCCAGGCAAGCTGCAAAAACAGAGATAGAAAAACTTCAGGTATGGTGTTACAGTTTTGTTGCGCTGTTTCGAGACAAATATTATTATGTTACCTTTTTGGATGCCTAAAACATGTAAAATACAAGAGGAGCAGACAGAGTATTTCCTTGTATGTTCTGGGAGATGTTTTAGCCTCTATAATAGCAGTATTTCTCAAGTCCTGCCCCTGGGCAATGGGTGGCCCGTAGGGAGTGTACATGTTTAGAACAGGAATCATAAACATAACACTCCCATGCATGCCAGCGAGCAAAGTAATTGAGTGAATATAAAATTGTAGCTAAGTTTTTAGCAGTGAATGAAAACCTTAGGGCAGCATTGTACAGGGTGGTATATCTATTTTTTTCCAAAGGTTTTAGATGATCCTTTTGTTTAAAAAGTTGAAAAAAGCTGGTCTTGTTAAGGACAATGAGTGGAACTGCAGAATACTGAATGACCCCTGGAATATTATGACTCTGAAAATGTAATGGAGAAAAATAAAATCCTTGCCAGGTAAGACGGTGTTTCCCAGCTGGCTAGCGTTGAGGTACTGCCTTTTTTCAAAAGATGTGTTCCAGTAGCTTGTTGTTGCTGACTGTAATGTACCTTTCAAAACATCTTTACGTGTCTGATGAAAAGGACTTTAGTGCTGCGAACACGCGGAAGAGTACAACCATACGGCACGCCATCACTGATACCAAAAAGAGCTGTTTCTGTTCAGCAATTTCCTGCTTGCACAATACTGTAACTTGCCAAGCGGTACAAGGAGGTTCCGCGAGTGCACACCGAGAAGTTGTTTCGTAGCCTTCTGAATGCGCATGCGAACGGTTGGCTGTGTAAAACTAGCCTGTGGAGAGAAGACTGCTGAAGCGTGCCTTTAGCTGATTTAGAACTACGTTGGAAGCCTAGAAGACTTCTGTCCTTCTCTTGTGTTTTAATATCTGACACCCTTGGAATTGGAGACAGTTAACGTGGGACAAAATCCTACTGCTGGTCTGTCTCATGTAATTCTTACTTTATACTCTGCTTGCATCTTATTTATGGTTTCGGTCTGCAGAAGTACATCGCAGCTGTTCATGGGAAGGTTCGGAGTTCCCGTGCTGGTTATGCTTTTACGAATAGTCTGCTTATGGTGCTGTAGCATCATAACTGAAAAATTACAGGGAAAAACTACAGTGTCCCTAGACTTGCTTCATTCAGTCTTGAATCCAGTCAGATGCTTGAATACCAAATTAAAAGTCAGAAGCCTACACGATCGTCTGATCTCGATACTGGAACCGTGGCATCTGGGAAATCGTAATTTCAATTTCCATGTATGCAAATTGGCAGAAAGATAATGATACGTTGGGTAACACATAATCTACCCCCCAAAAAATTCATTTCCTGCGCAGTGCTGGGATTTTCAAAAACTTTTGTTGTGTTGACTGAGTTTTTGTACAGCTAGTAAGTGTGTGTATTGCTTGAACTTTACAGTAGAGCCTGTAAAAATGTAGTACATGGGAACAGTGGTGTGCCATATGGCCTAACTGCATTTATTTATTTAATGGCTTGTTTGCAGAATTTCTTCAGTAGCGTATATGATCGTGTCGCAGCAATGTGAAGCGAGTCGAGTCTTGCATGCCGACGCTTTTTCTTAACCGTAGACTGGGCGGGTTTCCAGGTCAGAGTTAATTTTGACGAGATGAATCTGTCAAAACCGAAATGGGAAAAAGACAGAAGTACAAGAGCTTTTGTGGGGCGATACCGCCTACAGTAGCCTGTCAACTAAGATTTGTTCCTGTGGAAGAGATGACTACAGGTGGAAAGTGAGAGGCAAGCAGGCAGTCAAAACTTTAAACCTGCCTTACAGGTACTGCAGAGCAGGTACTGTATCTGGGAGGGGACACAGTATGCGAAACCCTCGTACGTAGCTGAGGGAGCAGGCAGAAAACATTGCGTTGATCGCATCCGTTGCATCTTATGCAAATGCCAGATATCTTCAGCTGTGGGAGAACTTTGTCGTCGTGTGGAGAGTACTTGAATCTCTTGATCTCTCCTACAGCACTTCTCACGCAGCTCCTATGCTACATACAACTTTTTCACGTACGGACATAATCGTAATTAACTCCTGTGATAAACTGTTACTGTGTTTATTCTTATTGTCTGCAGAATTAACATACCTGGGATGGGAAAAGGATAATGGCAAAAAAAAAAATTTACTTCAGTTTTCTCGCTTGTAAATATGCGTGATGGTAGCAGACCTTTGGGTTTTCCTACTTCACCACTAACTTTATATGCATAAATACATACATAGTAATTTAAATATCTGCGTGACACCAGTTATATTGGTACACAGCAGCCAGCGCTCTGTGTGTTATGGATTGAGTGTCACAAATGTAAGGGCTGGGGCAATGGGTCTCTGTTCAGGAAACTTCCTGGGATGGGACTGCGGTGGCGCGTCTGTCTAACCAGGCGCGGGCATCTCTTCTCTGGCCCACTGCTTCCGCGGGTGTGCGCTTCACCCCGGGAAGTGCTGTGACGCTCAGCGTGAACAAAGGACTGTTGTCATCTTCAGTCCTTCACCAGTGTCTCAAAACTACGGTTTTGAAAACGTTTTGGGCATTGGAAGAGATGTAAACTATGTATAATTAATGGTTTACATTCCGAGCTCAGTGTAAATAACGGGGGGGAAGAAACGATAATTTATTTTGAACTTGAAAATCATTTTATGCTAGGGAGAGCATCAGTAAAACGTGTAAGGTATTGGACTGTATTTTGTGACTAACGGCCCATTGGTTTCCGTCAGCAATGACAGGTGCGTTCTTGTGAGCGCAGTATCAAAGGCTGACGTCTGTCTGGTTTGTGCAAATGAAACCTTGAGAAAGGAAATGCGGCTAACCTTGTAATGAAATACAGTAGAATTATGTTACTACTTCATAGTCCAGAAGAGTTGACAGGTGAGAGGTTTGACCTACAAAACATAAGTTTATTACATCATGGAAATTGGCACGGGACTTTGTTTTGATTAACTGTGAAACTGTCAGACTGTGATACAACCATGAGAAAATATGAAAGGAGATGCTGATACCTTGCTGGGGCACGCCGTTGGTTGTTAACACTGGAACAATATTCTCCTCTTAGGGCATTACTTAAAAGTCAAAATTGCTTGCATAAAATGCTGGTAAGACCAAAAGTATTACGATGCTACCTAGAAAGACTATGACTATTATACGTGAAAATATGGTGCCTCCCCCATATTGTACATGTGGGTACTTTGTCAGTTGATCATAAAGCATCTAAGAACAAGTCAAGCTTTTACGACGCTAAGGTTATCTGTTCAGCTTCTAAGCTTCCAGCTGGTGGGTGCTTTAAGCTGGGGAAGTTTCCACGTAACAGTTTTTTCATAGAGTCTTTCAGGTGTAAAATTCTTCCCTGGAAGAATGACTTGCATACAGCAGGCTGAAAGACTCATCGTAGGGAATAAATTTGGTTCTAGTCTTAACTTCTTGTCGCTTTTATCACTGCTGAACAGTAAGCTCATGAGGCATGTGCAGCCACTCGTGTTCTGGCCTTGTGGAAATGGAAACCAGTATATTCTCTTAAGCTGTGTATTTTTTGTCTGCAGATGAAGGAAATGACCTGCCGTGATGTTGTTAAAGAGGTTGCGAAAATGTAAGTCTCCAACCTGTTTTTCCAACTCGGCAAAAATCCGTACTGGTGAGCTTGCTGTGGTTTCAAACTGAAGCTATTCCTTTTAAATTGGGTACCAGGTTTCATTTCTACTAGATGGGTGCTCACGCTGACTCCAGTATCTTCTGATATTAGTATTTTTTCTCTTCTTGTGAGATGGGATACGCTACTCAGTACTGAAAAATGCCAAAGGATGTGAAAAATACGCCTTTTGATCTCATCTGCTACTTTTTATAGGTGCAACTTGTAGCAGCAGTGGATTAAAGGTTAAACTGTCTGAATATAGTCACTGGTTTTAAAATACATAAACGAGGTGACATATGGGGGAAACTCCTTGGTGTCCTGATTCTGAAGAAAGAGCTGTACGCTTTGTTATGCGGATGGACCAATGGACTGCTGCTTCAGACAGAGAGCAGCGGTCTAGGAATGAAGCTGAGGTCTTTGACCCAGCCTTCCTCTTTGCCTAAAAAAAGACTCAAGTGCTTAGGGAAGAAGCAAAGTGTAACTCCTTGTTTAAGGAGTATAGCTGGTCTCATTTAAATGATAAAGCTCGATGCCACGTGAAAAGACTGGAAATATTTAATCTGCTATTTACCAATGCAATTCAGGACAACACGTCAGTGACAGAATCGCCTGTAGTCACTAATACTATCCCACAAACTCTATGTGAGGGTAGTGTATTTACAGGGAAAAAAGGTACCGTTCAGTAAGTCTTGTACTAGTGAGGGGAAAAAAGATAGCAGGAAGAGAGACTTTCTGCTAGGTAGAGCGTGAATTGGCCAGCAGTAAACTATCTTGAAAATACTTTGTGAATTAGTATCTCTTCAAAGAAATACAAGTATCCTTTCAGGTATCTGCAACACTTCATTTTAAGGCTTTAGGGACATGTTCTGTGCTTGTCACAAATTTAATGGTCTGCAGCTGCAAAACTGTAATCTCCAGCGTTTTATGGCTATCACGTAGACGGTCATAAAGAAGTCACAAATGTGCTTCTATCATTGGTGTTGCAGCATGTGAGCTTATTTCAGAGTTTGTGTCTGAGGCTGTCATGGCAGCGGCTAGAGGAAAGAATTTGTGAGACCTCTGTTCTTAAAACCTAGCAAGGACCTCAAAGCAGTTCTCAAATGGCACAAATAAGGCACGGATTTTCAAATGATGAAGAGACTTCTGTGCTTTACTTCTGCCTCAGCTCAAAACTTAACAGCAGCCCTAGATACAGTTCTGGGTTTCAGTTCAAGTTCAGCTCCTTAGTAGCATTTAGCAAGATAGCAAAGATTTTGATCATTTTTTTTAATCCTAAAATACTAGCCAGAGTCCAGAGTGATGATTTCTTCAAGAGCTTGTAACGGTACGCTTTGTTGCAAAAGACTTGTAACCAGCTGAACACATAGGGAAGGCCTACAGATGATCTCGGGCAATGATCGGTAAGTCCAGTCCAACAGTGACAGAAGGGTGTCAGAAGAACATAAGGCTATAGTGATATTTCCCTGGGCACCAATGTTAACTTTGTTCTTTATATTTGTTTCATAATACTTTAATCAATCTTTAATTGGAAGTACTTAGTGTGGTGCTGAAGGTATCCTTCCTTCCTCTACTATCTCCAGGCTTTCTATGTTGGCTAGAAATAGCTGGTATTTTCAGCTTTTGACTTATTAATGCTTTCTGAAACAAGCTAAGGCATATAATCTTCTCAACAAGTGAAGCCACAGGTTATTTTAAGTTCTGCTATTGTTTTGAGTGTGTCTCAACTCAGGGTTGTTCCAGTTTGTTTACGTGTTCTGCCGCTGAGGACTGAACACTGTGATGCAGTCAAATCAGTATTGCTATTACAGTGTAACAACACTCGTATCCCGCAGACTAAGGAGTGATTTTACTGGTCTGGATGGTACTGCATACACTGTAATACCACTTGTTTAAATTCTGATTACCATCATGTTTGCCATAAGCGTGGCAGTCTACATGGAGATCTATGTACAGGCTTCTAATTCGACACAAGATACTACGGTGTTGGGATTTAGCCTTAAGTGTAAACTGAAATAAGATTTACAGGGGAAATATAAGACACTCTTAACGGTATTATAATTAATCCAGCAGCAGCAGGCAATGATGACGTAGCCTTGGTTCTGCAGTATTTGAATCTTAATGTTTGTTCTAATGAGGATAACTTGAACATCTCAACCTGCATCTTAGCTGTCGTCATTTAATGTATTGTTACACTAGCAATTAAGCCTTTTCCGGTCCAAGGCAGGCGAGGGGGGGGGGGGCGGGGGGGGGGGGGGGGTGGGGGGGTGGTGGCGGCGGCACAGGGGAGGAAGCATGGGGAGAGCTTCTATTAACCATAAGAAGAGTACTTCAACAGAAGAAACCTGTGAAAGGAAGAAAGTGTATTTAGCCTATTGATCAATCTGTTCTAACCTGTACTTTTGTCTGTTCCTTCCAGAATCTACATAGTTCACGATGAAGTAAAGGACAAAGCTTTTGAGCTGGAACTCAGCTGGGTTGGAGAAAGTAATGCATTTCTGTAATTTCTATAAACACTATAGAAAATGTATAACTTTCTGTAACTAAAGTAAAACATTGCTTCTTAAATTCACTCTGTATGTCAAGGTCTTTGTGTGAATTCTACTTAAGATGTACTCTTTTTATTGGCAGTAACCAATGGAAAACATGAAATTGTTCCCAAAGACATCAGGGAAGAAGCAGAAAAATATGCCAAGGTAAGGTCTGACTTTGGTGTCGTCTCAGTGCTTCACTTGACAAACAGGTCTAGAGCAGGAGGAGCTGACTGAAGGTTAGGCTTCTACTGTTGTGATGGCTGGAAAATGTATAGTTACAACACACATCACTTCAGCGTCAGCTGATGTTATTCTGAAGGGAGAATAGTGATGTTTTCAGTGTCATCCAGGGATAGTTCTCGCTTTCAAAAACAGTGTAATTCAGCAGCCTTGCACAGGTGGCGTGTTTCTCCTTCAAAAGTAAATGTAGTAACTCCTCGACAATGGTGTAAGTGAGTAGGAGAGGCAGTAAGTCGTGTTGCCTAGAACAGTTTTTCAAGATGACCAGCTGGAGAAAGTTAGACTTCCAGCATAGCATTTAACACTTTGCTTTTGTTCTAAAAGTAGTGATGGTGCTCAGTATTACCCCCTAAAGATATGAACGAGCCTGCTGAATACAAGGCTTTGGAGAGATTGAGAGGATTGAGACGCTACAGCAAAACTAATTTTGCTTATTACAGGCTGAATTATAAAACAACTGTTAAACTATTTTTTAATTAAACTTTTTTTTTAAAACAGGAATCTTTGAAAGAGGAAGATGAATCAGACGATGACAATATGTAACACATTGTTACTTCAAGACAAGTTCAACTTTTCTTAACTTACAACAGGTTTGTTTATAATGTATTAAGCATGGGTTGCTATTATGTACTTGTTGGAAGAAACTGAGTGACCAACTTGCACTAATAAATTTTCCATTTTACTGTCTGTTAGCTTTTATTTTGAGAGTATAGGCCAGCACCATCAAGAAGCAACTGTACTCTGTATCAAAACAGACATTAGGAAGGAAAGATATTACCAGGCTGGTGTTGCTTCCTCTTACTACAGCACTCTATTGAGCCAGGCTAGGTACAGAAAAACAATCTGCTTAGAAATTTGACAAGTCTCTTGTTTATGCTGCATAGTTTAATATTAAAAACTAGTACTTGGTTATTCCTTGATTAACCAGTATCATGATTTGCGGTTGATTGATAGCCACAGTCTGATTTGCTCTTGGCAGAAGAGATGAGAACATCCCTAACTGTAAAACGGCTGGTTACAGGTTAAGGTGATGTGCACAGCTGACAACTCCAAACAGCCTCCATAACAAGCAAGAGTCCAGGAAGAGGAGTTTTAATCTGAAGTATTAAGCCTAGGCTTATTTGAAGAGTAGGAGAAATTAAAAACTAATTCAATTTAAAGTAGTGCTTGTGTTACGTTCTAAAGCTGTGAGATCTATTAAGCGATGTAACTGGAATTAATGCTTGAAGAGCTAAACTATTTTTAAACAGCTTCATTCAGCTGTAGCTTCTTAAATCACTTCTGAATCAAATTTATCAATTTCTGACCTTCCCAGAAGTCGAAAACAAGCATAAACAAGCAGTTCGAAAACTGCTTGCTTTCTCCACTTCCTAGGTGTCCTGGTTTCGGCTGGGATAGAGTTAATTTCCTTCCTAGTAGCTGGTACAGTGCTGTGTTTTGGATTTAGGATGAGAACAATGTTGATAACACAAGTTAAACCACAACACTAGGAAAAAAGACTGTCTATTCCAGTCACTTCAAAGTCTTGAAAGACAAGGTAACAAACTGTTCCATGCACCACCTTAAAACTCAGTTAAAATTGAAGTCTTGTTTGTACATGCAGTTAAAATTCTCATGGTCACCTTAATCTAAAATGCATACTTTTCTAATGAATCAAACTCCTCAGCTTTAGTACTACGCGGTTGGACTTGATGATTTTAGAGGTCTTTTCCAACCTTAACGATTCTATGATTCTACACACTAATGATCACCAGCCCTTAAAACCAAAGCTTTCCCTTACAGGTTTATTTTTTTGTATAGTTTTTTTCCTTTTCAAAAAGCACCTGGCCTTCTATAGTCTCTTTTCTGATGGGATTGCAAGATACAGGTTCTACTTCCTTTTTGGGACAAGGAAAAGTCAACTGAGATAGACGGGTCTGTCTTGATACTTAGTGACTGTTCCAGGCTTAAGCCTTAGGTGGAGCCAAGCTGCCCGAACTCTCCCCTCTCCAGCTGGGCACAGCTTTCAGAGGCTGCTAGAACTCTTGATCAGGCCTGCCTGGGCCAACATTAATCATGACCGTGACAGACTGCCTCCTTCCCCGTCTCCTCCCGAGGCACTGCTATAGCTGTTAGACTGAGTCAGCCTTTAGTTCTGTGTTGCATTTCTCCAAACTGAATTTACTACTGAAGTTTACTGCTGATTCGGCTGTTTGATTCATTACTGAGTGCCAGTCAGGAAACGCTAATGAGCATTCTAAAGCATTAGCCGAGGGCTGATCTTCCACTCCCTGTATATGACAGCAGAGCTACTTCATTCTCTCACTTTGTCTTTATTCTTTTTATACCTAAAGTGTTGCTGACAAACTGCAAGTTTTTAACTGGAAGTTAACAGCCATCCTCCTCATGTGTGGTTACACACATCCTCCGATCCATTCAGTGACAGCCATTCAGAATTAGGGATGGGAAGTGTAACAACAGTTACACAAGTCAGGTTTCAGGATTAAGCGAGAAGAACAAGATCAGTTGTGTGTATTTACAAGATAAAGTGGAAGGAAGGTGTTCTACAATATGTGAAAAGATATAGGTAGGAACAGAGCCACCCACTTGCTTATTCAGAATTTCCAAGTTGCCATGTTCTCTGATAAGCAGCTATCTAAAAAGCTCCTTTAAAAGAACCATGCTCTGATTTTTTGCTTGTTGTGGAGGGGTGTATAGTGAAGTCCCATGAGAAGCAATTCAAGAGCATGTGCATTTTGCAGTGGATAGTAGTACGTGCAAAGTGCTGCACAGCAGTCCTGCCTGTCATGGCAACATTTAGTTAAACAATACCAAGGTGATTATTACTGTCAGGTTCTTTTCCAAATTAAATCACTAAGTTATCAGAGTATAGGCTCAACCTGTTTATGAGAATTGATCTTTGTCTATGGTAAGGAAAAAAATCTGTTGCTTCCATTTCCATTGACTGCAGTTGGGGAAAGAAGAAAAAAGTGAGGGAAAAAATACTTGTGTTAACTCAGGAGGGGGGGGCCAAGGAGGAAAAAAGCAGGAAAATACTGAATAAGCTATTTTAGTATTGAAATTTCCCTTAACTTTAGAAACAGAAAGCTAGCAGGCTTCTATTTGATCCGAAATTAAGCATTGCTACCTTTTAACAATAAGGCCCGGGGAACATCAGAGTAGGTTTCTAGTCCAGAAGGACTCTCATTTCAGCGGGAAAAACTATTGCAAACTCCCCATTACAGCTATTTTTGTAGCCTTAACCTAGTTGCAGTTCCAACTGGCATAAATGCAATGTGGTTGTCTCATTGGTTAACAAGCAACTTACTAATTTGAAGCTAGTTACTTAAGAATGCTTAATTATACAGTTGTGCAGTAGCCATCATAATGTTTCCCTAATTTAGTCCACACCTGATAGGCTAAATGCCAACTTTAATGAATTTTGCTACTGAGAATTAGTATTTACTTGTTGCTGTGTCAAACAGTTGAGCAGGGGAAGAAGCCTTCCAAAAAGAAGGAAGTGGCTACTCATGGCAGCACTGACCACACAAAGACTGAAAAATGCAGTGGGACAGCACAGCATCATTAAACTTTGATTACGTGTTGAAGAGCATGGGTTTTTTTTTCCTAAATATATAGAGCTGTCTGAGGCAAATCACTTGGTGAAAGCTAAGCTGCAGAAGGGCTCAAGCTGGATCTGAGATTATTATGTAAGTGAGGACTAGATCTGTTACAGAACAAGAGAAAAGAATATTAAATTTCAACAAAAAAAAAAACGCTTACTTTTAGCAGAGGCTCTGTTTTAAGTACAGGACTAGGGGAAAAAAAAATAATCTAGCTGTGTTGTAGATCCTTCCTTACCCTCCAGGCTTAAACAGTATCTAGGGCGAAGTGTTTGATTTAAGTCCAGAGAATAACAACTAATCAGGTAGCTAAAACAAAGATTTGAAAGCTTCCATAAGTTGGTCTCCTGTATCTTCAGCTGTGGGGCATGTCTGGAGAAAGTACATATGCTCAGAGCCTGCAGAGTTGAAGCTCCAGAAGAGCTGTTCCTTGAGCCAAAGGACAGCACGTGCTCCTACTTAAATCTTAGTACTTTTGAGTAAGCTCACTCTGAAAACAGCACGTCTCATAACATGCAAAGGGACTAGGGCAGCCCAGTTGGCTGACTCGATTCAGAGCTGCTTGCAACACATGCAAGCCCAATACGATAGACCTAACAGCAGTGGTCTGTGACTGTGACCTCTGAAGGCTCCCAGAGCCAGCCTTCAGCAGCAGAGGCAGCATGCTTCCCTACAAAAGTAGGGCTTTTATTAAAATTGGCTTTTATAATTCACTTTAAAATGGCCAGTTACAACTTCCGTGAAACACTGAAATGTGAAAATGCATTGTGAGGCTAACAGCTGGGCAGGGTCAAAGTTTCTGAATCAGAGATTTGAGCAAGAGGTGATTCTTAACAGTCTCATTTGGATTGTTTCTACCCGAAGCACTGGGAAGTTTCAGTTCTGAAGGTATCAGAAAAAGCCTAATGAGCCCATACCAAGCAGCACTTCTTGCTTCAGGCTCAAGTAACCTTAGTCCAGACTTTGGCCATTTATGGGAATACATAACAGAGCAGAAAGTCAAATACCCACTTGGAATGCGTAACTGCAATTCTTGCCGTGCTGAAACATTTTACATTCAGAGTTCTAATGGCACGTGCTGTTGCTGAAGTCCCAAAGCACAGCCTTTAACAGAGCACCAGGAAGTAAGACTGTATAGACCAACTCGTCTCTTAGCTTAAAGTCATCCCTCCACCAAGGAGCATTTTTGAAATGCATAGATCCAACAGTGACACAAGACTAGGATGTACAGTAAGATGCTTCCTCTCCTTTTAAGTCTCATACATCCACTGACTGTTACTCAGCACCTGATGAATCACTGCTCTGATATTTAATAGGACTGGATGTGTCACGTTCCCTGTTATAATTATTGAGTCAGCAAGTCCACATACAGAAGCCTTGTTAAAGAGAATTAAGAAGAGAACTATGATGAACTGCAGATGACAAATTAAGAAAAAAAAAAATGCATCTTCATGACTGCACCAGGACAGATTTTAGAATATGCAACTGGACTTGCAGAGCTCAAAAATCAAGTTTAGGCTATTGCATCAGGATAACCAATTTGCATTGTTTGTACTACCTTTACATGACCATAAAAATTACTGGTTTGGATAGTATCTTCATTACAACTGACTATTACAGCTGATGGAATTATGGTAAGATTGAGCTGTTACAGGCTTAAAGAAGAACAGCTCACAGAAGTAACCCATATGCAAAATTTCCTGTGTGGCAGACATCTGCAAGGGCATCTCCAAAAGAAATACTACTCATCTGTATTTGGTGCCGACTCTCAGAAAGGAAACGTTTCAAACAGAATTCGTCTCATGCGGATCTGAAGTCTGCTAAGCAGCAGGTCACTTGTTGCTTCCTTCTCATCACCAAAAATAGCTTGATGGCCTGAGGTTAGAAGCCCTGCGTGCTGAAAGTGCGACTGCCCATACGGATGCAATACGGCTTGAGACGCTATCTGGCTATATAGTCCGAGTCGCCCTTAAGGAAGGAGATTTGGATTAACTACATGTGCTGTTTTGCAAGTCTCTTCCTTAAGATAAAACTGTAACCATAGAAGGGAAGACAAAACAGTGAATTCAACAATGCATCTTAAGC